CATCTTGCCGAATTTTCCGAAAATTTCGCGTTCCAGCTGTGGAGGGGTAAGGGAGTGGGTATAGTTGGGATAGCGCTCATAACCTGAAAAGTGACAGTAAGAAAAAATGTTTCACGGCAAATCGTAACTTCTCTGTCTCTCCACGGGCCACATGTGACCCCACAAGAAATGGTGACCTTGTTTGGAGAGCGTATGGAAGCGGACATGTCTCTGGACACTGACCAGCTTCTATTTATCAAGAAACGCAGGGTCGTAGAGGTCGTACCTTTGAGGGAATGCACCGCACTAGCGTACAAAAAACGCAAAAGTGTAGGTAAGGTAATGTGCACTGCGATGAACGACCTTGTGCACGTATAGCGGCGCAAAGCGGTAAGGTAAAGGGGTTAAAGGCAAAGCCCGCGATCATTCGCCATCACAGATAGTGGATTAGGGGTTTGCATATGTACGACAAGGTGCTGAGTAACTCGATAGTGATGAACAAAAGCAGAAAAAAACATAACAACTGCCCTAGGAAGAACAATTTCGAAAGCAATTCGCACGTGCCCAATGAACTTCATCTCCAACACTACGCCCTCATCCGCACAGCTGATTCCCCGATAAGAACTCTACGACCGTACAAGTGACGATTTTCATGCTTTTTCGTCCTGCAGCTTCGTTTTCACTGAAAGGCGGGCCTTGAAGGCGGAGTCTGGAGGCGGAGTCACTGGAGAAAGGAGGCTTCACTGAAGGCTCACATATATTCTGTTGACCTTCCCCTCTTTTTGCCACGAAAACGGTACATGCTATTTGTCGCGACCACACTACCCTTTCGACGTCAACTTTCATCTTCCATACCTGGTAGTGGACGTGCTTTTGAGGCGCAAAGTTGTCCAGTGGCACCTCCCCAATTGTGACTCCACCTCCAGACTCCGCCTGCGAAGTCCGTCTTCCCGCCAAAAGCGCCGGGCAAGTGGCATGAAATGGATACTTTACTGTCTCTCATGATGTCATAGTGTTCCTTACAAGCAACCAGTCGACTGAACTCGTCCCAACACACGGTTTTTGACCTTCTACAAGTACAGTTTGAGATTGGAGGCGTCCATTTATAGCGTTTGCGACGTTCTCTTTGTTTTTTTTTCTTCATATACGAGCCACTTGGCAACTTCTCCTTATTCCGACACAGGCAACTTCTCCTTATTCCGACACCATTGCCTCAGCTCTTTATCGCGGACAGCGCCTTTGAGGTTCTGAGGTAATCGAAAATCAACCGAGTACAAAAAGTTACGCTTTCATGTTATAGAAAATCGGATTCTCTATTTAACAGATATTCAACAAATCAAAAGAACTTGTTTTTCACACAAAATTTTACCCTGGAAAAAACGTTATCATTTAAGGGCCTACCCATTCAGGGCACAAGGATTCCCGGCGTGATGTCGTACCTGCCATCGAGAAAAATGTTCTCGGTTGTCGACTTTCCTCAGTTCTCGGTCCACGTGCTACATACACTCCCGCCGCACGGTGGCAGTTTCTCGAAGGAAAAACGGTCGAGTTTCTGAGTGTAGTCTGCCTTGCAGCCAAGCGTGATGCTACCGGTTCCAATAAAGTGTTGGAAAGGGTTTTTAGAGAGATGGTAGGTAGGAGGATTCAGTAGGGACTTGAAAGGAATCGTAACAGATGAGGCACTACTAAGGGGAGGAGGGGGAGGGGTATAGTTCGCAAAGTTTTTCCCCAAGTGCAGGACATGCCCCGTACTCAGTGATTAGAAACGATGTTATGCACGCGGTGCTTAACCTATTCAGCTACAGAGTTCAAAGTTTTCTTCACTTCTGTCCTTGAAACGTTTCATGCGTGATGCCGGTGCGCTTTGCTCTTTGTATGCCTTATCCCACACACCGGTTCCCGATAACTATGCCAACTCGCTTAGCCGCTAATCCCTTTATTCGGTTTCCACATAATCCATTCATTTCCCACGTTGGACGTCATCCAAAAGTCATTCCATTCTTTCTTGCTATACCGTACCGAAGTTCCCTTCACCTTGTTGAAAATAGGCTGCGCTCATGGAGAAGTGTCCAGGACCCACCCCAACTAGGCAGTTGATCAGCGGCCGGCGAAGAAGTAATTCTCTTGGCTGGAAAATGAGCCTGATGTGGGGTGGAAGTTTATCACCTGAGCCCAGGCTCGAGCTTTCCGTGTCGTCGTGGGGCCATAGCGCTCTCTCGCCCGTCTCTTCTAAGCTCCCTCCCGCGCTCTTCGATGTGCAAGGGTTGTTTTTTTTCGGTTTCCCCAATGATGTTAGCAGTAACCGTCAGCTGTTTTAAGATGGTGACAACTTGCACCGACACTTTTCTTTTTTAACCCCATTGCCTACAAACTGCAGTCGCGAAATGTATCATTGAGAGCGAAAAAAGATCTTTTTTGCTAATGCCTACCGAAACCAAGGCGGGCTGTGCTCTCTGATGCCCCAGACCATAAAAAATCTCGTCACCATTCAACGACTTCCTCCGGAAAAAAATGCTGGGAAGAAGTTGTGGTGGAGACCGAATGAGCAAAGGTGGAGAAATCACAATTTTTTTCACGTTTCAGGGGACTTAAAGTTTTTATTTTCTCTTTCTTCTCTTGCCCTCGCTCATGTTAGTCCCGCGTCACGTTAGTCGTCAGGGACCACTGTTCACATTAATCATCGTCACTGCAAGTTAAAGACATGAGTCATGACAAGTTGCTCAAAAATACTAGCAGGGGGTCCAAAAACGAAAAAGCGAAGTTAAACGGCTAAAAACCTGCAAGAAAAACTTCATTCTGCAGGATATTGGACGAGCCTTTTTGGAAGACTTTTCGTTGGCGTCGTGCTAACAATCTCTTTGATAGATACTGCTGCACATATGTATTCAGATGTCCATGTAGCAACACTTCATATCAATTTCACTTCACAAATGAAGCGATAAGAGTACCAGCGTCGATGTGACTGTACGGCCATTTGTAGGGCGGGCGGTTGCGGTGGGCGTTGGGGTCGGCATGTTGCACCTTGGTCGGGCGCCCTTGGCTGGATAAGGCGCCACGCGACTCCTGTTGAGAGGCACACTATGCCTTTGTACTAAGCTGTACCGCTTGTCGATTTTCGTGCCATTTGGCCTTTGAGTCTTTCTGTTCACTCCTAACGACATCCCTTCACCGCCTCTCCTTGAGTGCTTCTAGTGGTCGCTTGCGCAGAGCTTCGAGGTCTAAAGCGTTTCTCATAGAATGCTCCTCAGGCCTTCCGAGCACATGTCGGCAGCGCTGCTGCTCTTCTTCCAGCTGGATAGGGGCCATCTCCACGAATTCGTCCCTGACCTGACCTTGTCCAGTCGATTCCACCGCAGGGAATATCCAGCACTAGCGTACAAGGCCTTATCATTTCCCTGCTCGCCATAAGTCTCCTATTTTAAGTTCTTTTCACTTTCCACGTTTCTTGTCTGGCAAAGGGATATTATCTTGTGAAAGGGTCATCTTCAAGACCATTCCTGATTTTGTTCTCTTCTTTTTGGTTTTTGGAACACCTTCATAGGGGCCCACTCTATCTCTCCACTGGCTGGCTACAATCAGCATTTCAGATTAAAAAGGCAGATTCTACAGTATGCGTGTGGCAATTATTGGCGCCGGTGCCAGTGGTCTGCCCGCCATCAAGAGTGCCATCGAAGATGGTTGTGAGGTGAGGAAGCATGCTAAATACTTACATGGAAGTTAGCCGTTACCGTTTTTCACTGTCTATTGACCTTATTTGTTTTTATTTTTGTTTTGCTCAAAATTTGCTATTCTGCTTTGTTTACTAAAAGTGTTATTGGAATGGTTTTCTAGGCAAGCCTAGCCTCTTCGGGGATTTTTGACGTTTTTAGGGTAGAAAATTGAGTATGAAATTTGTTCTTAGGCTGCAAACCAATGTATTTACTTGTTCACTATTTTATTTGTTGAAAAATAAATAAATGAAACCTACAATGGATTCATATATTATATGTTATTAAATGTTCTACAATGTTGTCACTTAAAATGTTCTGTGCTACTGTGTGCTATCTATATGTTATTCAATTATTTACTTCCTTGTTTACTTAGTTATTTGCTCATTTCCTCATAGTTTTCATCCGCTTCCGGGGATTCATTTGTAATCTGCGAAATTTAGGCAGTATGTTTCGAAATGTCAAACGATATAGGAGGGCTCTGGCGATATAAACCAGATGCATGTCCAGGTAGGATCACTGGATAGTATCATCACTGAAAATTCTTAGGTTTGACGGTCAAAGAAAAAAATAAAATCCGTGGTATCACAAGAATGCTGAGTTATGGGCAAAAGTCGGACCACGGACGGGATCCCGTCCCTGGTCCGACTTTTGCCCATAACTCAGCATTCTTGTGATAGCTTTCGCCTACTGCGGCATTGAACAGCAGTTATCAAACAATAACAGCTTGAAAGGTTCGTGATGTCGATAGATTCCTTCCGGGATACGCCGTGACTCCTACATTGAGAAGTGTATAATTTTTCGAAGCGGTTTTTCCTCCACAGGTCTTGAAGGGTTATTGACGTGCATGCCACTGATATTATTCCCCCAAACAGACCCGGTACCACCTCACTACCCTTGAAAGATGGAAGGTTTGGTTCGCCTCAGGAAGGTTTGATTCGCCTCAACGAGAGTGCATTAGAAATATAGCCCCAAAGATATCTTCGCGCATATATGTAGCTGCCATTTAAAATATTAAATAAAAGTATTGAATATCATGAAAAGTATGACGAAGACTGAGGCGAGCGTCATCTTGTGACTCGCCAAAGGTTGATTTCACTATACGGTGTTCAGCCAGTGCAGGTAGCGACCTCAAGAAAATTTTTGCCTTGTTCGATCTCTTGCCAGGTTTTCTGAAATTGTGGAGTAGCGGGGACATACAGCAAGCCCAAAACGGTGAAAAAAATCAACAATAGGAAAAATTCTCTCTCAGACTTCATATGACCCATGTCCTTCCATCAGCGACCATATACGACCCTATTCGGGAATCCAACGCCCCGTATGCCTTGTGTTCAATCGGTGGTTGGACCCCCGGCTATGAGCGTGCTGGGTGGTGGAACTCAAGCATCAAAGTTGGTTAAGATGCATCGCGAGTGCGCTCTTCAACCAAATGAAAAAAACCCTGTTTTGAACCAGACCAACAGAGACCAACAGTACATACTAGGGTACGTAAGAAAAAAAATGCATTCTGCGATGTTAAGCGTCTTCCTCTTTCTTGCAGGAGAAGGTACCGTCATGAAAACTACCGTAATCAACACATCGAAGGAAATGACAGCGTACAGGTGGGTAGCCGCTCACGTATCCTTACTACTGCAATTTTAACAGGCACTTCTTTGCAGCGATTTTCCCCCTCCCAAGGATGCGGCTAATTTTATGCATAATACGGAATTGTTGGAGTATTTCCGATCTTACGCGAACAGGTAAGCGAATCGCGGTTACGAGAAGGAGCATTTGCAGCGCTGTTCGAATAGGGAGGGGCATTTTGCATTTTCGCTGGTTTCTTTTAGTAATAGTAACTTACACGTCTCACTTGGGTGAATCCTGTTGACTCTTGTAAAGTGTAAGCTGATGCTACTGCATAGCTTTGCAAGAATTTGCAGGTCTCAGACATCAGCAGTAATCTGTGGAAACAGGTGAAATGCCCCCACCAAACCGATCTGGCCCCTTTTCCTATCTTATCGGACAGAACATTTATTACCATGATACTCACCACTAGTGGGTATCCCATGAGGAAATGATCTGTGGATTCCAAAGCTGCTCTTTGGAAGCATGGATTATCCTTCATTCTTCCATATCAACCCATTCCAGTAGTGACATTCAGGTTTGACCTGCTGAAACACATTCGCTTTGAGCACAAGGTGAGATCAATCAAAAGGAATAGTCGCTTTCCACGAAACTGGGCAGTGGGATGTGGAATGGCTCGATCTCAAGTAAGTATTCGTATGAAGAATATGCTGAACTTTAGGTAGAAATAGGTGTTCGTCGCCAATCAGCCCGTCGCTGTAAAAATTTGTAGAAGTAGCCTAGATTCATGCGTTGTAGACTAGATCAAGGATCTTTGGGTTCACTTCATGAAAGGGTATTGTTGCTCTGTTCCCTGAACTTGAAGATGCACTTCGCTATTATCCATCAAAATCTTCACGGGTAGCGGAGAGATACAAAAGAGTTTGAGCTAACTGACCTCCCTGAACGAAACAGTAGAAGAAAGCTCTCATTATTCTGAGCGAGCGGCGAAGGCTCTCCAGGATTCCGGGCAAAAGGCTTGACGAAATCAGTGAAAAAGCATAAAAGCGAAAGAAGCGGTCACCATCGTAGGGCAGGCTCACCTAGGCTCAGGTTGAGGTGGGGCCAGTTGAGCAGCTCTGCGTCTTAACTCCCCTACCTCACAACTTTTCCACGCCAAGTTGGTACATAGTTATTGTTGCAGTCCGCTGCTTTTCCAATCATACCCACACTTTGACTCCTAGATGTGATTGCGCAACATGTCTTTGGGACCACTCTCTTCCAGACCTCCATGTACGACCCTATGACAGGGATTCGTCGACTTACGTTTGACATAGAATAACCTGGCTTTTTCATTTCAAATCGCCAATTAATTTAGTCGTGTAGGCGGAGTTTTTCCTTCCACTGCGCTTTCCTCATTGGAACCTGGTTCCTTTTTAACAGTCTGACAGAGAAAGCAATCGCCGATGAAAGAGGCGCAATGGTTGGGCTGACTCTTCCTGTACGATCAGCGCGGACTATGTCTCCAACCAGACCACGAGATTGACCCGGGGGGGGGGAGGGTAGTCCTCTTCTCCTTTTGAGAATCCTTCTGATCCCTGTCTTACCTGGTAAGTTCTTACTTTGGCTCTGCAAGGTGAGACGAAGAGAGCAAAGCACAGAGACGGAGGGTGGAAGAGAAGCGTCACAAACTCTTCTGCTACTCTATGCTTTTCTAGCGAGGTAGTAATTCTCGTTCCTCTCATAGGCTTGTCATTAATCGTAGGCAGCGCTGAAGAGTAGAGTTGAATGGAGTGGACGCGGATCATCTCGCCGCCAGCCCCCCCCCCCGTTTATATCCCCTATCCCAAAAAAATCAAGGAAATTAACCTGAAGATGCGACATACAGTCCATCAGTACAGGTCAGTATCTCCTATAATAGAGGAAATACAGCACCCCCAAAAAGTGTACGAGTCGGGTAAATGTGTCGGGTCTGTGAACGAGCGAAAATGGACATTTGAGGTGACGAGACTCTTGTCAACCGAACATTCTGTCGCTGGAAGGGTCCAGGGGTATCCTTTCGTGGCATCTACTAGCCCAATAGTTGAAGAGAGAAGGTAAAGAAGGAGGGAAGGAAAAGAAGGAACGAGGACGAAAGAAGGAAAGACAAATTGTCCGCGGCCGACAAGTGGCCTGAGACGTTTGGTCAAATACTTTAACCAGCCTGTATTATACGTTTTTTTTTCACAGCGTGGCTCGGTGGTACTGTGCACCCAATTATAGGAGCCGCTTAGAAAACGTTATCCTGCTTGTTTTCCTGAACTTATAGTTTGGTTGCTGTTGTATTTTGCTTTTTATCTTTAATTTGCAGATCCCACTGTAATTACCAGCTAAATAAATAGACATTTAGAACAAACAATAGCGCAGTGGAAACGTTTGACGGAGTCATGGTCTGCACCGGTCATCATACCGATCCTCACTGGCCAACACCATTTCCTGGACAGAAATCGTTCCAAGGAAAACTCGTCCACAGTCATGACTACAAGGACCACATAGTGAGTAGCCTCTAGAGTCTATTTTATGTGACACTGATTGAAATGTATTCATTTTAGGGTTACGAAGATCAGACAGTGGTTGTGGTTGGAATAGGAAACAGTGGAGCTGACATTGCAGTGGAACTTAGCAAAATATGCAAAAAGGTTATTCTTCTGGATAAATTCCGTCCTTAGTGGGAGGATTTGTGGGGGAAGGGGGGGGGGGTCTAGCCGACAACAGAACTGCCACATAAACGCACAGGCTAAATGCTGAAGGCACATCATTGGTTGGGGATTTTGGTCGAGTGATCCGTACAACCCCGCCCCCTCCCCTATTTTTAGGGGCTGGTACGACCCCCTGGGTTTCCTTCTCTAGCAGCTGATTCGCAGCGAGGGCAGCCAGCACATGCTGAAAGGCGTTAAAACCGCGAGAAAAATACAATCCCTCTCTACCATTTGTCAGGTTTTCCCCGATTTCCACTTTTCCGGAATTCCAAAATTTTGCTGCCAAGCAGGGAGGGGGTGAGGTATACGTAGTCCACACGAAACAGGCTCCTGCCAACAACGAACAAGTACGTCAAGACCCCACCTGTACAAGGTCTTTGAAACAAGAAAAATCACCCAACGAAAAAAGTTCTCGGCCCGGATACGACCCTCCCCTATCTCCCAGCTACCAAATACGACCCCCCCCCCGTTGGGGAATTCCAACAACGATGTACCTTGAAAATGATTCACATACTCAATTACGGTATCATTAATGCAGCACTTTCAAGGCGCTTCAGGTGCAGCGTCTTCGAGTCAAAGCACATCATCGTTGAGGAATCCTCGACGAGGGGAGGGGTGACCTGGTGACCTTCCCTTCCCTGTGGAGCGGTGGGAGGGCGGTGTGTTGGAGTAGAGGTGCTTCCCGCTCAGTTTCTTCTCAGAGTTATATCTGCAAGCAAAGTTCTTCAACGTTACTCCTTCTCAACATATCGGGCGACATCTGACCCATTCCGACGGGACCGGGCTACTGCATATCTGAACTCAATAAACCCACGCAATTTAACCTGCTGCAGATCTGAGAAGTGGACGAATTAGTTTTTTTTTTTTCTAACTAGGGAAGGTCGTCAGGTCGAAGTGGCCATTTGTAATGAGATGTAGCTCACTAGACGTGGTTTTGGACGCTGATCTCGAATCTGCCTTCGAAATTTGCAGAACGATTCTCTGAACGGAATTATGAAGGTTTTCTTAAAATTAAATTAAAGGAAACAGAGGTGCGAGCGCGCGTTGCTGGCACCAATTCCGAATGAATAAGCCGGAACGCACATCACCATCAATGGTCGGGCATGGATGGTCGTTGGTAATGGTCTTGCTTCGCCGCGCATGCCGATGAAGGAATCGGGTTTCTCCGAAGGCACGACTTGTTTATGATTATTGCTGCCGGGAATGTCTCTTTTAGGTCTAGAAAACACTCAAACGCCAAATGGGTGCCATATTCGTGTTCAGGGAGCAAAACTACCCTTGGGGACAGGTTTCTAGCCAGATGTGAGGTTTTGACCTAACTTTGAAAAGTGCGGTAGCAGTTTTTTAATGATGGTCACCAATAGTTCCAGGGCCAGTCTCTTGTCGATTGCTTGTCTTTGGACAGAATTTGCTTTTAGATACCAGGAAAACTGGAGCAGTAATAAAATGAATGCGTAGAAGAGAGGAGACGAGGTTTTGTGCAGGAGAATGTATGTGGCAGCTCCGAATAAGTGTTAACGTTCAATTTGAACTAACCATGGATGCTTCACTTTCCGAATTCGGCTCAAAATGCCAGATTTGGCTAGAAACCACTACCTTGGCGGAGTTCGCCCCGATATACTTGAACATGGCACTCGCTCAGCGCGAAAACGCCTGCACTCCGCGCCAAGGGCACCTGTACATCTCCTAGATCATAAGGCCCTAAGCGCGCCAGTAAGCGAACACAAACTGTCATTCAGGCAAGTCAAGGCGAGCGCTAATGTAGTAGTGACGCTACAGCCACTTTTTGCCACGTTGGCACAAGAAGCAAAAAAGTTAAGCTTAGCAGGGATCCGATCCCACGACCTGCTGCGTGGTAAACGCGGTGGAAAAAGCTCATAACTCCGTTGAGAGAGCTGTTCTGGCAATTTCTAAGGTGTTTTCAAAGGCAGATTCGAAATCAGCGTCCGAAAACCACGTCTAGTGAGCTACATCTCATTACAAATGGCCACTTCGACCTGATGACCTTCCCTAGTAAGAACAGTTATGGAACAGCATTTTGACAATCTGTTACAGCATTTTGACAATCTGTTATTTTCAGGTGTACTTGGCGACCAGATCCGGGTCTTGGGTCATGAATCGCGTGTGGGACTGTGGAGAACCGGTTGATCTAGCTTTCCTTAGCAGTGGGTTTTGAAGTCTGGTGTAAGAGTCCCCTGCTTGCAGATTATGAGAAATGCTTGCGGCGTTACGTCGAATGATCAGGAGGTCGGGGCGGGGGCTCCGTGGTTCTGAGGTCAGCGGCTCCATACAGCTGCCTATTACGTCATAGACGTACACTTATTATTCCTGCAAACGCGAGAGCGTGCGAAGTGGGCGTGGAGTGCACAGTGGGCAGATTAGCATTTTCCTCCAGCTGTGGCGGGCTCTAGCTGACGCCATTGGTGGGAAATGCCGCCCTGCTCGCGTTCCATGCCACACTCCTTCACACACCCTCTCGTTTGCAGGACGGAAGCGTGCTCATTACGGAGTAGGAACAGCCTAAAAAGGTCCTTCTTACCTCTCTCAGCCCTGACCGGCAACGCCGACAGACACTCAACGCTAACATTCAAGCACGTGGACACGCCCTCTCCATTCCTGAAGAGCTGTCGGAGAAGTTTGAGAGAAACCGTTAGCAGGTGCTGTTTTCAAATTTGAAGCGTTCACTCGAAGGTACATTTCGTGCTGGTCGTGCCACCGAAGGCTAAAAGCCAGTGAACGGAATCACAGTGACCGGAAGTTTCCGCGGAAGTCGCGGAAGTCATCGCGAACCATCCCGTTTCAAGAAAAGGCAGGCTCAGGAATTGAATGCGCAGATTCTTAACAGCATTTTCGCTGGCCTAGGCGCTTCCTCGCTTTCGAGAAATTCTGAGGTGGAAAACATAAGGGAGAGGGGGGGGAGCGTGAATACAAAAAGCCGCTAACGACTGGACGTCAACATATAAGCTCAACTGAAAGCGCATGCGCATGGTGTGGAGTCAGTGCTTTCAGTATTAGCGTGCGCCTCCCCCGCACCTCGTAAAATGGTAAAGGGGAGCGGCACGCTGTTGATAAAGTCCCCGCGGACTCGACAAGCTGTCTCCACCCCTACGATCAAAGTAAACTAATTTTTAGATCATCAGCAAGGTTCTGTGTAACGGGATACTTTAAGACTCTGGAGGACTTGATACTGTAAGACTGACCCTCAAAACTTT